TCTGAGCTTGTTTTGCATCTTGCCTTTTGGACTTATGACATTGACTTAGCCATGTATTACATAAGGATTTTGACTCAGACCCACGCTATTAGTTTTTTCCATACCTCTGATCATATTTACTGCTCATAAAGTAGATCCCAGGATGCACTTGCTCAACTAACAACTCACAAGTTCAAGAGCGTAGACACCTGAAAGTCAGCATTATAGGCGTCTCTGGACTGCTTTTCAAGACTCAGGGAGGCAGGAAGTCAGGCAGTGACTTGGAGATGTCACCCTGGAGAAAAGAAAGGAGTTTGTCAACTGATGTAAAGAGCCCTGTCCTCAGATTTATACAATCTGTCTGTGCTTCTCCTTTCAGCCTTACACTTTCTTAATCTGAAGTTTGTTGTTGTGACTCCTCTTTCCCTTTTACAAATTGTCCCAGATGCTCATTTAAACCCAGTTTCAACTTCATCAAAATATCTGGATTGGTGGGGAGAAGGCACATCAAAGTACATTTTTACTTTGGATTCTGTATTCTCCTAAGGGGTGGCTAGAGTGGGAAACAACAGATACCCACATGGGCAATATGCTGTACTGGGGTCCATGGTGTCCTGTGTAATCTTTACAGCAGCCCCAGGAGTAGATATTAGTGTCTCCATTATACGCATGAGATACCGGAGGCTCCTTCCTCTAGTAACTGCAGCATCTGGGATTCAAACCCAGGGTTACCATTTCCTTTCCCAAATCTGCCACATCACTTTTTATAGGTCCCTATAAACCTTGAAGATATTTTAAGGTTATTATCTCTACAGTATAAACATAGTGAACATGGTTATTTTATAATCTGCCTGACAATTCTAATAAATGAGCTCTTCGTGGGTCTGTTTCTGTTGTCTGTTGATTTTAGTGATTTTCTAGTTGTTATCATTTTCCTATTTCTTTCTGGTTATTTGATTATGTGCTGATGATTATACTTTAAAGTATTTGTGATAATCATTGAAGGTTTAGAACATAGATCTCTCCCTTCAGAAAATATTTGAATGTGAATCTTCCAGGCACTTGAGGTTACTTTGAGTCTGGGAGCACTTCTGTCCGATACCCAGACTTGACGTTTTTCAGAACCACCATGTGACTTGAGACGTTCCAGTGACTGGTTAGCTTCTGGGTCACCCTTCCCCTGAGGGATTAGTGTTTTGTCTTTTGGGAATCTTAGTTTCCTATGTGTGGGGTCTCAGGTTTTCTTCCATGTGGCTCTGAGCTTTGACACCTATCCTCACCTTGGATAATAGGAAAGGGTTCTGATTTCCTAAGGTTAGAAAATTCCATGAGGTGAAAGTGGCTGCCATGCCCATCAATCTCGATTACTTTGTTCTACTGTGGCCAGGTAATTCCCAGTGAAATTTTCAGCTTTTCATTGTTTTGAAGATTTGCTTTTAAAATTCTACCCAGCATGCTCACTTGTTTTGATTAGGAAGGCTTGCTCAAACAATGTAGTCTGCCATTACCAGAACACAGAAATCTAGAGGCTTATATTTTTTCTTCTCACTCTTTCCTGGGGCTCTATCTTTCTCACCCCTTCCTGGTGCTTTATCTCTGTCATTTTTCTTCTGTGAGGTGCTGCCTTTTGCACTGTCCAGAACCCTTCCACTGGTTCTTACCACAGCAGCTTGGGCCTGTGGATTAGTGGTTTGTTTGATAGATGAACAACTGTACTACACTCATAGATGTCTTATGTAGTCCTAGGCAATCCTGAAAACAAAGCCTAACTCTGTTTATAAACAGTTAGGAAATATATCCCACTGAGGCTCAGTGTCCAAATAGTAGCCTTTTGTAATGTGACAAACACAGGCATAATGATGGCATTTCATAAACCAGTAATTTGAGAGGATTCTGCTCAGGATTGTAAAATAATGAGCTTCTAAAATAGGTGTGCATGAGTGTGTGTAGTAAAGAATTTGGTTTTGCCTAAGTAGTGGATTGACCATTGCCTTCAGCTTTTGGAAATAAATCTATGTCACACCTGAAAGAATGTCTTTGTTTAGGGTGGGGGCTAGTAACATCAGAAAGACCAACCATGTGATCGAAGGTGGGGACTTTGGCTTACACAGTGTCACTTGGCTTGGAGACTGAGTTCATCCACGTGGACAGCCAGTTAATCAATCATGCCAGTGTAATGAAGTCAACAATAAAACTCTGGACACTGAAGCTCTGGTGAGTTTCTCTGACTGACAGTGCTCTGTGTTTATGGTCGCATGCCCATATCAGGACCCCTAGGGGAGGGCATGATGGATGCTTCAGGTTTGGAACCCCTCAGTCTCTGACCTGTGCATCTCTTCCTTTGATGATAATTTGTATCCTTTGCCATAATAAATCGTAACTGGGTATAATCGGTTTCAGTGAGCTCTGTGAGTTCTTGTAGCAAATTATTAAAACTGAGGGTGGTTTGGGGGAACCTCTCGAACTTGTAAAGAATTAGAGCGTTCTGATGAAGGACTATCCCCTAGCTTTCCCAGTTTCACTAAAACTGGGCTGTGTGTGTGTGTGTGTGTGTGTGTGTGTGTGTGTGCAGGACAACACTGGCACATGGTTCTTAAAATTAGAACAGCCTGACTAAGACTTTAATATATTAGCAAGTCTTAGATATTTTTCTCCTTGCATCTTTATGTTCAACTTGCTGACTGTGAGATCTTTTTCACTGGACTTTTTGTACAAAACCAAACTCTGGCTCTGTATGTTTATTGTTTTTACCCCGTGTGTTTTGTACCCATCCAGAGTCCCTGTCAGTCCGTGTTTTCTTTGCCTGCAACTCCGGTTAAGGAAGGAAAGTGAACTCACAGAAGTGATTTTCCCTACTAAGATTTGGGCCCTCATAAATCACACTGACGAGAAATGTGATGATGGTCTCTCTGTATTTCCGAGGAGACTGAAAGAGGACAGAAATACAGGCTCTAGGATGGTTTTGTAACTTTTCCCTGTGGTAGTGCAATGAGAAGGATTCCAGCAGGCTAGACCTCAGCCCTAACCAACCAGATGATCCTCTATTTGAATGTTCCTGCAGTGAAAATGCAGTGACACCCACCAGTGTCACTGGGCTGTGTAGTACCTGCAGCTGAACTCCTGGCAGGTAACAATGAAATTGTCAACATTTCCTTTTTGTTCCCTTGCAAGCAGGCAGGGCATTGTTTTTATCCTGTGGTTGAGCACATGAATCAAACCTTTGTACACATTCAGTGGGACTGTGCGTGTTTTCAGAAACTAGCTTTGTAGCTGGTAGGCTTTCGTGTTGGGCAGTCATTCTGCAAATGAGGAAAAAAAATGCAGATTCTTACATGTCTCTGGATTGAATTCTAAGGCAGTCACAGGAGATTGTTGTTTTCTGGCTTGGAATTTGGTTTTGGTAATTTTAATTCTTAGACATATGCCATCCAGAACTTAAATTGGTTATAAAACTGTTTTAAAACATTGGTGTTTTGCAGTTGTGGTTGACAGAGAGGGGAGGGACACAAATGGCAATGTGGACAAGTGGAAGAAGGGGTATCTATAAATGTTTTAATTCCTGCAGAACTTGATGCACGTGAAGCTTATGTATTTCATTTTCCAACCATACTTTGTTAAAAGGAGTCAATCCAGGTTGGCTTAATTACTGCACTCTCTAAGTACAGCACTTTGCACGCCTTAATGCACAATGGTAGAGAGGTTATGCATCAGTTAACTTCTCAGGAGCCTTTTGTGTATGGGGTGTCCACAGTCAAAAAAAAAAAAAAAAATCCCGGGTGATTAGAAGACCAGGACATGTAGTAGTTTATGGGCACAGTGCTTCTAAAAGACCTTCAAAACACAGATTTACTCCCAAGAAAAACAGAGTGGAACTTGCTTTGCTGATGCTGGGAGAGTCATTATGGTTGACGGTGGCCTCTAATATCATTAAAAAGTGGAATATATATGAACATTCATTTTCACCCAACTTATTTAGGAATATGTCTGTCTTATAAAGGAAACTTGCTTTTTTATTTAATTTCTGCATTGGGAAATAGATGTTAGAGCATCCCATAAATAGAGTTTACTTGCTCCGGTTTAAAAAGAAATGTTCAATACAGCAATTCATACAATCCCAGAGTTTTGCCAAACTTAAGATTTTAAGTTAAAATACTAATACTAAAATAATATTTATCAAAATACTTAAAATACTAAAAAATGAGTTAAATTCCCTAACAGGATAGGTATCAGTGTAAAACTACCTAGAAAATTCTCCACACTTTGGAATCTTACTATAGAGTCCAAGGATAGGCTTTCAGATATCCACAAGTGAAATTATATAGAATACTGCATAGGTGCACATGTGTATTTGGGGCAGAGATGGTCCATTATGTTGGCTTTTAGAGAGTTTAAACAACACTGTGAGTTTAGATGTTGGGCAGAGGAGATACCATCACAGTTTAGTGCCTATTCAGTCTAAAATACATGTGCAACCAGGGCTGTGTATTGACTCTTTTCATTTTAGGGTCCTATTTCCAGAATTATAAGACATGTCTCAGTGAGATCATAGGGACACAAGGAAGGGCTAAGGCTTCTTCAGCCCTATTATTATCATCTCTTCCAACTGACTAGTGGACCTTGTGGATCATCTGGAGATTGCCCTTAGAAGCTGAGCAGTGTCTTTAGTGAATATAATTCTAGGTACTAGGAAGAAACTGTGTGTGTGTGTGTTTCTTTGTGTCTGAAAAGTAGTAGATATTAAAAAGTATTTATTGAATAAATCAGTGGATGAGTAAAACACATATTAAAATGAATGAATAACCAAATAATTAGAATTATATGTAATTTAACTTCTTTAATGGAGGCCTTACTTGGTTAAACAAGAAAATTGGGAAAGAGCACTTAGAAGTTTTTTCTGTGATCTTCTGCAGGAGAAAGATAATCATGCTGGTTGTCAATGCTTTTCTAAGTCTTCAAAAAACTTTCCCAGAGATGATAATTTTCTTTTTTTCTTTTCTTTTCTCTCTTAAAACAAAACTCAGCTATCCAGCTTGATAAAGTCAATCTTAAATTATATTGTGCGTGGTCTCTTCTGGATAACTTTGAGTGGAACCAAGGGTACAGTAGCCGGTTTGGTCTCTTCCATGTTGATTTTGAGGATCCTGCTAGACCTCGAGTCCCTTACACATCAGCCAAGGAGTATGCCAAGATCATCCGGAACAATGGACTAAAGGAAAGTCAGTAAAAGATGGCTGTCCCATGTCTGCTGGAGAAGAGGCCTCTGCTTTTGGGAAGGAAGTCTGCTTTGGTGATCCTTCAGACAATCTCAAGTTGCCTTTGTAATCATCTCCTACCAGCTGACCCATGATTATGAAGTCTGAATATGTAATACCTGGGGATGTATTTAATGATGGCCTTTACTCTATTTGCATGTGGATCAATGAGGCTTTAAAAAAAATAGAATAGAAAACCACTGAAACTGATTTTTATATTAAGAAATCAGACTGGGAAACTCCCATTTAAATCCTTAGAATTTTTCTAGAAACAATAATGCAAAATTTATAAAGATAGTATGCTCATGATTTGCAGCTCTGACATCAGGACCACTTATTATAAGAATACTTGTTTACGAGCCTGGTTTCTCTGGTTATGTCGGTTATTGTTTGCTTTGTAGATTCTTTTTCATGTGGCCCATAATTTTTCTACTGTTTAATCTAGTATAAAAAAAATCAAAATCAAAATTAAAAGTTAGTCACATTACATAGTTATGCATTCTCTTCAACAAAGGGATTAATTGATAACATTTAATAAAACGGATTTGTTGATGTGTTTGGCACATGTTTTCTTAATGCATGAACAAGTACGTTTCTCTTGCCTGATGAATTATTTTTGAAAAATACTAAATTAATAAAACAAATTAGACTGTGAATGGCAGAAAGAGCATTTGAATTGATGTTCAGCTGAAACCAAATTCCTACTCCAGAGTGATGTCAAATGAAGGGCAAAATAATAAGCCAAGCATATTCTATGCTTTTAGGTATTTTTTAATGTTTTATTTATTTCTGAGAGAGGGAGAGACAATGTCGTGCGGGGGGGGGGGGGCGGGTGGTCAGAGAGAGAGGGAGACACAGAATCTGAAACAGGCTGTAGGCTCTGAGCTAGCTGTCAGCACAGCTGTCGACAGCTAGCTGTGGATGCAGGGCTCAAACCCACGAACCTTGAGATCATGACCTGAGCCACCCAGGCACCCCTTTTGGGTATTTTTTAAGAACTTAAGAGGTGCCTGGGTGGCTCAGTCAGTTAAGCATCCGACTTTGGGTCAAAATCAGGTCATGATTTGGTGGTCCACGGGTGCTTGTCCCGCATCGGGCTCTGCGCTGTCAGAGGAATCTGACAACAACAGAAACTGGAGCCTGCTTCAGATTCTCCCTCTCTCTCTGCCCCTCCCCAGCTCATGCTCTGTCTCTCTCTGCCTCAAAAATAAAAAAAGTTAAAAAAATTAAAAAAAAACCCTTAAGATCTGTAAGAACATTGATGACATCCATGAAATATATACATAGACTGAGTGACCTACATGCGTGGAAGACATGTGTGCACATCTGAGATGTATTTAGCATTGGATTGGAGTTGGACCTTTTACTGAACTTCCTCAGTTGGGGTCAGAAGTAGATGTAGGGCGTCGTGTGTCCTCATCAGCAAACCTTTCACATTTAATGAATTTGGACTCTCACCTACATATTTAAGTAGTATTTACTCAACATTCATTTGTGTATCCAGCTTGAAGTATGATCACCCCCATTTGCAGATTGAGAAACTGAGGATGCACTGATGTAAATTTTCCTCAAGTCATAACCGTACTAGTTTCCTGGACCCAGCACCTCTTTGGCATTAGCTCTGTGCTCTGTCCAGCATACCATAGGTCCAGGTGCCTTAGAAGTCTTCTTTGCATTTTTTTGAATAAATAGAAAAAGAAACAAAGGTGTGAAGTTGCCTTATGCAGAGGAAGTGGGAAATGTGTTTTTCTGTGTTCTCATTCTGCTTGCTGAGAAAACTACACATACTTTGCCATTCCCATAAGGCCTTTGGCCCTGAGCAGACACTATGTCATTTTTAAAAAAGCACTGTGGTCAATTTCTAGATCGTTTTCATGTTCATAATCAGGGAATTATTTACAGCAAAGAATACTGTCTCGGTAACTTTGGACAGAGTGAGAAAGAAATGATCATAGTAGTTCAATAAATGTGGATGCACTGGGGAAAATTATATTAAGATTAAAATGGTATACATAGGAAATTCTATTACATCTTTGCCACTGTTTTGTTATTTTTATTGTTCAATGAGACATTATCTCACAATTTGTGTTCATTTAAAAAGCACATTTCCAAATCTTATTTCATTCCTCTCCTATCTAGACTGTCTTTTTCATTTTTACCATGTATCTTATTTACAATTTATGTGCCCTCCTTATATTATCTTGCAAGACAACTGAGTTTTCCTTTTAATTAGGATGTTGTTTTGAATATTACTTATCCTACAGGGCATATTTACAAGTTTTACAACAATACAAATGAGCTCTGTATTTTCGTTACCAAAACCAGAAAATTAATATTCGTGCTGTAAATAAAATGATCTGTTACATTTGGTCTACCAGGTGAAATTCGCATTTGAGCTGCAATGCTGAGCAACCTCACAGGCCACTGGCTTTCTGCAGCTCTCAGCTGGACTTCAGGAGCCAGCATTTCGTCCCAGAAATGTATTAGACCAAGGGTGCTTCCTCAATTAGTCCTGTAAATTAGAATTGTCACGAGTTTAGGTGAAGAAAAAAAAACCCACCACCAAAAATCTAACAGCCCCTGTAGTATTTTAATTAATGTTATTTTTAATCGCTTGTATTAGCATCTGAAAAGAAGATTGATTGGCTTTTGCCTGTCACAGAAACAGAACTTGGATTCTTTAAATGGAAAAACAGGAGTTGTTAATTATACTTAAAAATCCATAGATACTGTACTTCAGATGTCTTGAAGGTCATCTGAGGCTTGCAAAGTACATGTTTTATGTCTGTTTTATCTAAGGAGAAACTTGGGTATCACAATGATGGATTGGATCTACTTGTATTTCTTTCTCCTACCTTGCTTTTTTTTTTTTTTTTTTAAGAGAATGTGAACACATTATTAACATCATGCGGATCACTTTTCAAGAATTGTAACATTTCGGGGGATAGTTTTTATTTTAGGGTAAGTTATTTCTGAGTTGCTAAAAATATACAGAAAATAACAGTAGCCCGTTTTCATTTTGATATGTCGGGCTTTAGTTTTACAACTCCTGTGAACACCAGCAGGAAATGTCCACCTAAGCCCTTTACTGAATGAGAAGGTATGAGTTCTCATTAAGAAACCCGTAAACTAAGAAGCTGGCAACCTTGGTATTTGGCAGTGGCATGCCAGTCAGGCTTTTGTGCTCTGGGAATTTGTGTTCGGCTGTAGCTTTTAATTATTTTTATGAACGAGGGAATAATGAATACATTTGTAATATATTGAAAAAATTCCCCAACACTGACTGACCAAAAAGTAGATTTATATGATAATCCTTAAACACCAATTCTATTGCTCAGTGCTAGGCAGAGAGAAAATAGAATACTGGGCTTCATTACTGAGAGAGCAGAATAAATCAAAGCTGATGGAATTAATACTGTTTAATTACTAGCAATACACCTTACCTGGAGAACACATATTCATCACCGATGACAATATTTTAGGCTCTAGTTGTCCTGGGAGGGATATAGTACTTAGCACAAAGCATGAAGAGCCTTAAAGAATGAAATTAAAATAAAATTTGACGTAGAGGCACTTTATGGTGGCCTTCATGATGTGAGAATAAACCTTATTAATTGTGGCAGTGGTGAGGTGGGGAGATATTGTAGAAGCCTTGGGTTAGGGTCACAGGGAAGAATGGTCCCCAATGGTGAGAGCTAATGAGTATTTCTTGTAGACAGTAAGTCTACAAGAATGTCTGTTGTCCTAAGCTTTCCCTGTATCGGTAAATGTCACCTGACCCATGACTGGCTTATGTGGCCTTGTCTGAGAGGCTACTGGTATCTGGTATGAGGCAAATATAGTGTAATCATTAAGAATATGGGCTCTGGAGTCAATTCACCTGGATTTACATCTCAGTTCTGACATTTACTAACCAAGCCACTTATTTAACTTCCCTGTGCTTCAGTTTTCCTATCTGGAGAATGGGCTCCTTATAAGGCTGTTGCAAGACATAAGTGATCTGACAGATGTAACCTGTTTAGACAGTTTTCAGAACATGAGAAGGGCAGGGTTAGTGTGAGCCATTGTTTGTAACTGTCAGACTTGTTCACACGGATCCCCCAGCAATTTGTCAATTACAGTGTAGATGTTTCTAACTCTGGTTCTACATTCTATCTCCACATCCTGCAGAAGTTTCTGCTCTGGTGAGTTGAGATTCACTGTCACTCTGATTTTCTCGCTCTCCAATTTTTGTGTCATTTGTTTTCCTTGTGACCCCAGGTCTCTGATCTAAGAAAATTGCTAATTTTCAGTTTGTTAAGTTCCTTACATATTGGGCCAGAACTAGGAAATGGTCATTACTTTTATAATCATTAGAATTGAAGATTTACAGTCTCCCAATCAGTACATATTTATTAAACCAAACTGTACAATATGTTGGGGAGATGCAACAATGCACACAAGACAGCTCTTCTTCTCCAAAGAAGTTCATGGTCTGGTTGGGGAACCAGAACAGAGACATGAAATGATAGCAGATGATGCTGGGTGAATTTTCTAGCCTGTAGGATTAGGGCAAGCTCTCTGCTAGATGGGGTGGGCAAATATGGCTTCATGGACAAGGGAAATAGTATAATATTAAAAACAATATGGTAATATGATTAATATAGGTAGAGAGATGGAAGTGGAAAGCAGGAAGCCTTGGTGTGGGAGGCAGCACGCAGGCCAGTTCACCTTGGGGAAAGGAGTGGGAAGATTGGAATGTGGAGAGTCTGATGTTCTTGGTCTTGGTTTTCTCTGAAAACAAATCAAAGATTTCTGAGCAGGATGGTGAAGATTTAAAAGCAATATGTTGAATGATGGCAAAGAAACTAGGATGTAGGAACCACTTAGAAAGCTGCTTATAGTAGAATATAGTTGATGTGTTAAGGGCTCTATTTAAGGTAGGAAGTGCATATATGAAAAGTTAATATATAATTATAATTAATGTATGAAAAGTACACAGGAACTTAAATGCAACATGGTCTTTTGGATCAGATCCTGGAACAGAAAAAGAGATTAGTGGAAAAACTGGGAAATCCAAATAAGGTTTTCAGTTTAATTAATGGTGCTTTGCCAATATGAACTCCTTAGGTTTGCTGAATAATTAAAGTATGGTCATGTAAGAGGTTAACATGAGGGGAAGCTGGGTGAAGAAAGTATGAAATGCTCAGTACTCTTTTTACAACTCTTTTGTAAATCTAAAATTATTCCCCTGCCAAAGGTTTTAAAAATGTATATAGAAGAGTTAATAGTATATTCTGAGAATATATTAGACATAAGCATATATTATAATCTACATGTACTGAGCTAAAAGACAGCTGTCTTTTATAACCACTGATATAACTACCGGTAAGGTCTTGATAAGTCCTTTTTTCTCTCCCAGAGTTGTGCTTTAATGGGTAATTTTTTCTCCTTCATAATTTACTCTTAAGTTCTCATTAGTTAGCTTCTGTTTTCTTTCATTATTTGAAACTATTTTTAAAGACAAACTTCAGCAGTCACGATGATTCCCTGCATGTTGGAGTCATGGAGGT